GAACTTGTAACTATTGAAAAATATATCCTGCATAAGCGACATCATTACAACGCTAGGGCGTATCTTACCACTATCGCTCGCTGACAGTAAATAGCAAAGCTTAGGTAGCTTGAAGGTAGACGAAGAGTGTAAAACAGAAGGGACGACACTATTTAAGACTGAAGAGCAAACAACAAATTTTTACCTCTGCATCAGCTATTAGCGAGCTGTGATCCCCCGCAACCCGATTCTAACTACTTAGTTGCATAGCTCTACCCTGTCCCTGGGCAGGTGTTTGGTAATGCTTTTCCAAACAGTTTTCTGAACGCTCCGAGCGTCCACTAAAGAATCGGACCGTCAACAAAACAATATCTTCTAAGCTAATTTCCTCGACTGTATTCATCAGCTGAGCCTCGCTCTACACTTAGGGCACTACCCTTTTGTCACTACGACAGATACTGACTACCAGCATTCAAGCTGAATTATCTCTCACTGAACGGGAGCTGGAGAAAACGCATTTCCTCTAAGAAGAAGTTGGGATGCTTTTGGAGGACGGCGTCTTCGTGAACGAACATGAGGGGCATCAGTGGGACCATGGTTCCATCTCTATATTTTACGTCATTCAGCATTCAGTCCTGATGTTGTATTATATCAGGAAAGCGTAACGTATCGTGGCCGACAGCACGCAGGAAAACACATCGGGCATCTTTGCACGAACACGGTACGTCGACACCTCATATACGGCACACCCTTGAATTCGAAGACATCGAAACTTTTTTACACTCACAATACCGCCAAGTCTGCATTCAAATGAGCATGTATGTCGCGGACGATTTCCCAGAAATCTAACACCAGTTCATGGTCGTCCGTCTTTTGCATAAGCACCGCTTCATCGTAGATGAGATTATTATTATGAAGATAAAGAACAACTTGAACGATTTCAAGCAAATGCAATCGGAGTATTCCTCAGCCTGTACCTACCTGCTATCATTATAACCAACTTTTCTGCGGTGAGATGAGTACACACTGTTGGATGCCTATCCAAACAGCGCAGAAGGAGGCAAGAAATAGAGAAGACGAAATGACTGGTTGAGTTTGCTAAGCACTGGCGTCGCCTCCAAGTTTCGTCTGCTCGCCAGGTGCAACAGTAAGGCGCAGCAAAATGGCGGCGTTCAAAGAGGAACGCACGCAGGAAAGAAACCTTGATGGCAAACCGGTTGCATGTTCAATCATGTGATCTCGAATCATACCTTCGATGTTGCTACCTGTCAACGTTCGCTAACACTTCTCTCGTAATGAGATGTACTCGTGTAATAAAGCATCATGTGAAATTCAAGCTAAGCCTTTTCCTAGGGGAAAAACGCGGTCTGCTAATGCACAACTTTTTGAACGCGTTCCCATTGTGACAGTGTACATGCGGCCACTGTTATGGCAAATTTCAGAGTTGACAAATGGATACCATGGCATACTGTTATCAAGCCGTTTCATAGGTCTATTGGGAAAAACCTAGACAGGTTTAGCTCGATTCATTTCAAGCAATGTCTAGTGGCTTCAACACCAAATGTTAAAAAACATAGCTCCCATATAATTGATCCGAGCTGAAGAGAGAAGTGAACAGAAGGTTTCTCCAGTTTATTGCTAAGACGAAATATTGTAGTATAAATTGTCACTTATATCCACGAGCGGTTCCTATATGTCAGTTATATTCTCGGTAAATAGAGAATATTAAAGCAAACAACAGGAAACGAATCCCATGTAGGGAAAATGATATCGAGAAATTCAAGATTTTACCCATTGATTCAGAACGTAAAAGATACATGGATCTATTACGTAAATTTGACCAGTATGTCTTCATAATTGAGCAGTTCTGGCTTCATCATTTCTTTATAAATTCTTATTTAACATTAACTTCGAAGGCGAGACAAATTAACGTAAAGTGCAGTGAGTGCGTGCGTGTGTTTTTCTTTTAATTCACTTAGTTTTAATTTTCAATGCCCGTGTTCTGCCCTGCTGGTCGCTAAACCATAAAGAACTGAATATATATATACTTGAAAAGTAATATTTTCTTTTTATTTACCCGTACAGAATCCTTCGATATTACCGTCTCATAATGCTTCTTTCTAAGATGATTATGTTCAGGGACTATTTCTTTTGCTGTGAAGCCCTCTTTCTAACAAATTCATTGTAGGTATTTCAATGTACATGTATGTTCTGTAGAACTGTAATCCTACGACGTTATTTCAAAATCGAGGAATGGCGTGAACATTTTACACAGGCCCATAACGAACGGTCAGCCTTAGGTCGACGACAAATCTGACTCGACTGTCATTTCACAGGTAACATCGCTGGTATACGTATATGAATTGAATATAAAGAATAAAAAAGCACGATCAGCTTGTATAATAGAGGCTCATGTCCTGTCTGTTTACATATGTAATAGATAAATCTTGATGGCAAAACCAAAGATCCAGAATAGGCCCACCACAGCAGAACTTGGTTTTCCTTCTACTAACATTTGTCTGTACTTTTTTTTTTTTTATCATAACACACCTTCAGCTATACATCGTAACGAGACCTTTATGTGCCGCCGGGTTTGTAACGGAAGCGTTATTTTATACGCTCAATAACCATCACAAATTGGTGACTTGGCTAGGTGGCATACATGGCAGCATCGTATAGTATTTTTTTGCTATATTTAAAGAATCGTATTTCCGATACTCGTACGAGAATTGAGAACGCTCAGGATACTTGTTTGCAAAGTATTCGTCTGCTACAGTCCACCACACCCGTAGCACAAGACACCTACGAAAAGATTCCCTGCTTTACATTGAGGACCTGGAGGCCTATTTCAGCAGCCTCCACTAGCCGGAGTCTTACTGTAGTGACTGAGAGTCGTTATGCTTCAGAACGGTTTGATATCAAGCGATTAATTTTTACTTTTATATAGCATATTCAATTAGCTTCGGTAATACTGAGCCTTTTTCATGTAATTCCAGCCATTTCGAGACGGTCTCATCGGGCCATAGTGTGCTTGTCACGTGGGGTGCAATACCTAGACTCCGTCGTATCGACGGCAACCGAACGACTATGTAATGACGCCTAAATTGACTTTCTAGCCGTTGGCAACCTGTTCTTGTAGTCTCTGCTGTAGGCTTTATGGCTGACACTTTCCACAATAATTAATTCGTTGCCCAGTACGTGAAGTACCAGTTCTTCTTACGTATTTTGCCACGCTCGTAGCGAATAATACGCATCCCACGCATGATCCAATCGGTGGTGACTAGATTGGAAATCGTCTATTCCCGATTCTCGACCCAATCTGAGGGTGGTGATCGATTCTTATTGCGGGCAAGCGTAGGCGGTAGGCATCCTGATGATAGTGATCATCTTTGTTAATGATAAGAGAATGATAGTCGCTAAAGGAGTTGGCTTTAGATGGTCACGCCGTGCTATTGACAGCCCTGTGAACCTTCCTGACGAGTGAAATTTGGCAATATTTGATAGTATTTGCTCCTCGGAGACTTCACAGAGTGTTCACAAACGTGAACACTGGGGGACTGAACGGTTATGGCCAATCTCAAAGGATACTAGACTAGCTCAATGTACTGCGCAGATTGGTTACTGATTATGGTTTTTAAAACGGCTCACCGTAATCACCTCAACTCAGTCAAACGCGATCGAAGTAATTCTTTGAAAAAATGACCTCCATATATATATATATATTAGAAATAAAATAATTTGTATTTTTCGTGTCTAACCTACATGTACATCTATCTTTTAATTCCGTCGAATCGACTAATTATTTAATAAATATGTATCTTTATTATAAGCTATGTGTCAGAATTGTTTGAACAGAATTAGCAAATTTGTCTCAAGTCGTTTATTTAATATTCGTTTACGCCAATTTCATGGATTCATATATTGAAAATATACACAATATGTAGCAGCAAAGTACGATTATTAAAATTATAAAAAAATTCTACCTGAGACGTTAATTGTTACTTCTGATTTTTACAGAATGAACGCAACGTCTTCACATCTTTCCCGAATTGATTACATTTGCACGTTCGTACGGGATAAACATCTCGTTCCAAATGTATATGTTCAAGCTGCCACTCGTGCTAGCAGTATCCGAATTTTAGGGTCCTAACACCTCACATTTTTCGTCGAACTCGATCCTGCTAATACACGTACCTCATTTTATCTCTGAGCATCCGTTAGCGCCAGAAGTGACTTCCGGGTTCCTTCAAACGCGCCAGCACCTTTGTTCCGATTTCTGTTCTTTTCCAATCGCAAAGAACCCGCTGTCAGGAAATCGGCAAACTGAAACTAGGGGTTCATGTGTATGCGATGGTTAACATTGTGTTAAGGTCAGCGAGCAGACGAAGAACAGGAAAAACCAGAAGTTGTCGAGCATCATGAAAATGACGAGCACTATGTGATACAACTTACTTTCTACCACTTAGTTTTGTGGATACATGTGTATAAGTTAATCATTGAGGCAAACAGAATTGTTGGTCTATACGCATCGTTACGTACGCAGATTCTTTAAAAGACCTTCGTGTTTTTCTCGAAGTTTTTGTCGAACGAACGGTTTTGCGCTTATTGTCAAACATCGAGGCTTGTGTGTGCAAATATATAGTGATGAAAATGTTATACCCGAGAGACTTAATTGCATATCAGTACATGACGGGGAGCAAAATTGAGATGACTATCTACAGCTTATGGTACTATCAGAGCAGTTAACTGAGCTAAATTATCTAAGCCATAGTCATAAAGTATCCATGCTAACGAAATAACACAAACACATAGAAAAGAATACGCTAGAAAAATATATATTACATGAGACTGGGGTTAACATGTTAACGTCCCGTTAGCATGGACTTTCTTGAATTCTATCTGCTGCCCGCTCGACTTTATTAAACGGATCGGATCATTTATAGCCAATTGATTTATATACACGTATATATAATTCGGTAACAACACGCGTCTATGTGTGTACTTGGATCTGTTCGTTTCAGGATGCTTGTTTGATGAATCAGTATGCTCAAACATCGAAATCTGCGCTGACGGTAAGTCTCTTCTGTTTCAGTTGAATTTCACTAGACCTTCGTTATTTAGCCGTATTGATTGTCTCGGAAAGCATTTTTCAGGAAGCAAATTTTCAGTTCAAGACTTCCTGCACTGTGGACCAGCATGCCTGACCGTATCTGTTTTCATAAAAAAATGGCGTTGCCCTTTGTAGCCTTTTATTTATTTCGTTATATTACAAAAGTCTAATATGTTTCCAGTCCAAAATAAAGCTATCGGCATTTCACGAAAAAGACAACTGTCTTATACAGAGTATTGAAAAATCGCTGTCTCAGAAACCTATAGAGCTCATCCGAATAGAACAAACTAAAAGCTGTACCTGTTCAAGAAATATCAAAAACAATTGGACCTTGTTTCATGTGTCTATTTGAAAAGCCTTCGTCACTTCGAACGGGTGGGGCCGTGGTCGCTTTTAGGCCGAAGGCACTGCTTCGCCAGCTGGCGAACTGTTTTGGTGCTCAAAATACGCCTGTCGCACCATGTTAGTAGAAAATGCAATTTTTAATTCAGTTTATATCTATGCATGTGTGCATATATATATATATTCACTTGCAACGAAGACTATTTATGCCAAGGTCGTGCTGTTCGAGTGTATTAATCAACACACCCGCTGTCCTCTTTATCTCAGTAATTTCTTCCACTAATGCTCCACGCACCATCTCGACTTTTATGCAGAATCGAATAGATGTGTTGCCTTATGAAGACGTGGTGGAGCCTGTCGGGCCAACGAGATCAGTAAGCTTCTCCGTTCCTGCGAGAGGTTATTAGATGATTTCTGTCTCACAACTACAATTTATCTGTTTTGATGCATGATCCGCATTGAGCCCCATCTTAAAGCGGCGGGAGTGAAGCTAAATAAATGTCGTGATAAGAGGTTATATATAACTTATATCGGATCTGCGTAGTAGCAGTGTTCCGTAGGATCTCCTGGAAACATGGCTCAGACGTGAGTCCTCCTGAGAACGAACGGGAGGTGGTTAGACTAAACCTGAGTAGAGTCTGAAACCCGGTTGGATCAATTCATAAATCAGATTTTCATCTACGGCGAAGGAATTCAGCATTGTAGATAAGTCTGTTGTATGTAAGAAGTATTAGAATACTGGGTCATTTACTGATCACATCGACATTGCAGCCAATGAAGCAGACTAGATTTTACTAATTAGCTGCAGAAGTTACTTGGGGTTTGCCAAGACTGAAGCTGTAACGGAGGGCCAGACATCCAACCGGCTCGGCAACTACCAACAAAAAAACTTTTATTCAGCCTATAATTTTATGAATAAATTTCAAGGTAAGTAGAAAAGAAGTAGCGCTTTGATCCTCACTTGTAGACCGAAGCAAATAACCGCTATTAGAACTGTTTTTGTTACTGCTACGGACAAAGGCGATCTATCCGTTTCGAGTGTCTACTGGTTATGATGCGCACAAGGTTAATAATAGCAATCAAAATAACAACAACAATAACAAGTATAAACAGAATATAAATGTGACAATATTACTGGATATTATAGTTTGAAAGAAAAATGTACGCTTATGACCTCAATCCGTTTGGGGGGCAGAGAAAGATTTAAAGAAGTGTGGCTTCTTCGGTACCAAGTGCTAAATCAAAAGAACATTCTGTGACACTCGTATACACGACTACCAGCCTCATAGTTACTACCATGTAGATAAGAGTAAATTGATAAGCCGCTCTTTAATTCATTGAGTAATGAAAAACACGATATATATATATATATATATATATATATATATATATATTGTGGCTCAGTGACGGTCATCACAAGTTCTGTCCCAGGCTTCTTCCAAGGGGCACATGGGTTCGAATCATGCAGCCTTCAGCTTGCTGATTGACCAGTTACTATTATGATCATTAGATATTTTATACAAAGTCTATCTCAATTACTCTCTACTACGCCAACAGTAAAGGGGATGTGTCAATGTCTTATAGCCTATTCGAGCTTGAAAATGAAGCGTCCAAGAAAAATTTAAAAACTCCTTCTGGACATCACTTCAATATCAATTTTCATCTACCGGAGAAACTAGTTAATACTGATTTTGATACAGCCGCTATATTGTACAGTCAAAGTAAATAGATCGCATTGATTTACGGACCGACAAAATACGATTTCTAGAAAACTTCGTCCTAGCGCCAATGAGTGTATAAGTACTTTACTGTTTATGTAATACCCTGTAATACGCTTAGTAGCTACCATCGGGTACTCTTTAACATCCAGCCGGACCGGTGACAACGTAGTCAACATGCAACATGAGCCGTGTGGAATTATTTGCTGAAACCGCTAAAGGGCAGGTGCGCGCTGACGTTTTAAACTAGCACTGCGTCAGGTCATAAAGTTAGGTTACTTTACTTCACGAACTATGCGTAAGAACTTGAAGCTTACTGCTATTTGCGCCCTATTGGAGCACGGAGAATTTCAGAGTCCGCTAACATTATCGTCGCGGCTGTCTCCTCGCAACCCTTACGGGGCCATGATGCATCCACATTGCAAGGGGGACGCAAAACGATATGCTTGCACCGCCGTTCAGATGGCTGTCAAAAGGTTATTGCAAATTAATAATAAAGCGTTTCGCTCAAACTATCTCGCTGGAGTTAAGTGCGTGCCACAGGTATTGGCCACTAGAGCCAATGTTGAATCTGTGAAGAGATCAACAACAGAGGAACTCGGGGGAGCTCCACGTAATCCCAAACAAGTGAGGCCTGCCGCTCCTTAAGTTTTCCGTAGGGCATCTTCCGAATGTTACTAATGTCTCATGCGGCGAGGCGATAGAAAAACGCTGGCCTACAAAAAAACCAGCTCTAGCCATGCCCTGACGAGGGTAACATTTTCATTTCGTGAAGAGGGACTGTGTGGTCATATCAGCAGCTTTAGTCGACACGCAACGCTCATAACGAGGTAAAACCGATTATAGTAAAGAGGGGAATGACCCGTGGGGCGGGCTCCTTAAACTTAAATTTGTCGTTCTAATTTGACTGTGCCTGATTCCGGCATTATTGGGTTCGGCCACATATGAGCAGTAGTTAAGTCAAAAAAATATTTGCACGAGTCGACGCAGAAAGGTCTTAGAAGAATTAACCTATAGTAAATGATATTGTCGAAACAGAAAATATACGAAAAATCAATGAGCACAATTCATTTACCCTACTTTGCAATGAAACGGTATTGTTTGTCGATCTTCGCGAGCAATGTCTATCCTGCATATGCAACTTGGTTACAGCTCGTTACAGAAAAAAGGACCGCGTATGTTCGATTAGAGAGAACTAGCAAAATTCGAAATATGTTCAATTGGAAGCGCCTTCGACTTGAAAGCCTACTTTTTTTCTATCTTTTTATGTAAACCTATGTCCTTCCCAGCTAACAAGCGATATGCAACAATGTTGCCCATCTAATGAGTAGTAGCAACACTATATACAACGGATGGCATTCATAAAGAATGAATTCACAAACTACTACATTACTAGTATTATACAACGGAAACTTCCATGAAACTTTTCAAACAGTCTTATGCTACAGTGCCTAGAAGCTTTTTATGTATGCATCCAGCAGTTTTCTAGCCCATTTTCCAGAGTAAATGCACAAACCTAATAAATTCAATTTCTCACCGATTGATCAACAGCTTAAGCCTAAGATGATTTCTAGTTTTCATCATTGTCTTTTGTCTCTGCTACTTTTCAATATGAATTTTTGTCTCCCGTGCTCCCGCCAACATTATCCGCATCCTGTTGCCATTGTGCCTGCTTCATGTGTCCTGCTGTATTCGTCCTCGCTATAGCTGCTGCTTATTTACTTACTATACATATCTTTTTCTTTGTATTGTCTTCATGTATCTCTGGGTCCCTTCTCTTCCCATTCAGATGGCGTGTTCGGCGTGTGCCGTGGACCAGGCGATCCTCCCGAACGGTCGAGTCTGTCAAGCGGTACTACTTCGATCCGACTTCTCGAGTCGGAGTTAGCCCGGCTTTGGTCCGAAGGCTATCGTTGGCCTGATGAGTACACACAGTGCGTGGTCAGACAGCTACTAGAAGGAGCTCGCCAGGGGGCGGCAGCGGCGCTTTACGACCCTGGATACTGCGCTCACGCATTGAAATTAGCTCTACCAGCTATTGTGAGTATTGTCGTCAAGTTTATTTTTGTCTCTCGTTGATAATATCTAGAGATCTAGTCAACAGTCAAAAAAAGAAAAAGAGTAATAAATAAAGATGGGGATCGGACAAAAAATATTGACTAGAATTTGGTTGAGTTCTACACATATAAATACGTAGAGTGGCGTTAGCTGAATTGCGTATGCTCGAGTAATGCAAGCATAGTGATGGCGCTTGTGTCGCTGAAGTGGACGATCTATTATTACCACCTAATTTAGTAGGAATCAATAATGGTGTCGGAGGTCCTTGAGCTGTTTTTGCGTTACTTGTTATTAACAGCGCAGTGTAAAGAACCTTAACATTGTGTGGGATGGTGTAATTTTTCGGTTAGGATTAACAAGTGAATTTGGATATTTGTTACGTTGTATAGAACTGCGGAAAACACTATATGTACGCACCTAAATATGACCTTAGGAGTAGTAAATGGACAGCTCACCTGGGGAGTGTTTTCGCCCTTCGTTTGGAGCCTTGTAGGCTGTGCAAAGACGGCAGATCGCATTGTCGAAGCCGCACAGCTCATCATTATCTGGCCATGCACTTATCAATTAGTGTTTACTAAGCCGAACGTTTGGGCATATATCCGTACGTACACTATAAATGATTGACGGGCAGAGATAAACTGGCTGTTTCTAGAGATATCCGTGGGACTAATACAGCAGATGCGTCGAAAACCTCAATTTTCATAACAGCTTTGGTTGACTTGATTGAATCAAAATAGGCGTGAAAAAGTTTTGCAAAAATAGGTCATATGCACGGTGGCGGTGAACGTATCTGTTTTGTGAAATCGAGTTGTATTTTTTTCCATTAAGATATAGAATACGACCTACTTTGACGGTATATGCTCAAAGCTCTAGCCGTATGTGTATTACGCATGATATAGTGTTATTATTTGTATTATGGTCTTTTACTGGCTAGTTTTTGTACAGTCTTGCACGCACGTTTCCATCAAATGTACATACGGACCTTGAGCGTCACTTGACGTAAACTCTTCTCTACCCCACACTAGTGAAGCCTGTATTGGACACTGTAAATCAATCATTAGTTGCAGCGAATAGGAAGATCTCCAGAGAATTAGCGCGAATTATAGTGATGACGGTATTTTACGGTATATGGCTAACTCACACCGATTCAAGTTCCTCTATTCCTTGAAGCCGCTTTTAACCTGCTTTTCGTTTAGCCAGCATCGGCAGCGAGAGCAGTGGCTTAAGATATCGGCCTATTGTGTTACTCCTTGCACAACAAACTCGACCACCTACCAATCACAGTGATCGCTAAACGGTAATGTAAATTTGACCTGTTAGGCCAGCGGGTTGCCTTTACAGTATTGATTATCTATCCAAGGCTATACACCTCTTAAGTGCAATAGGAATCTCTCCCATGTTTTTTCTTTACGTGACCTTAGTTCTATCTATTGTAAGCAACTGTTTTTAATGGCTGATTCTTAGACAAATGCACGACAAGTTGCAAAATCTATGCCAATGCTTGCGAAATTTCTTTCTCAGTCGACCCCTCTGGCGTGTGCGGTGCCTCACAACTCTGGGACCTTTTCGAAGACTTGCTACCACCGGAGCCGTGAGGATCGCACGCCCGGGTTCGTAGCTAGATAATCGACACCTGTGCTGATACGTGTGAAATCCCGCTTGTTGATGGGTCCCTACTGTAATTTTGTCATCGGGCGGCCCAGGTGATTTTATAGAAATCTTGTTGTACTAACGATTTGAGCGCTATGAATACAGATAGATTCGTATTAATGCCTATTCCCACTTCGCGATCCCTATATGTCGATATACGAGCGTGCTTTTTATATATAAAGACCTCTCATAGAGGTCCTATCCAAAACTATTTTCTTACAAGCCTTTCCACAGTCCAATTAACCTGAAACCCTTAAGCGGGTTCAAAAAATGTAGCCATATAGCACGTCCGGATTTGACGCTAGAAATCCTTGAACTGTATTGAGTTTTTCGGATTTGCCCAGGGTTAAGATACTTCATTTGGTCGCATCCGTTCTCCGTATGAAAACCGACTCCACTCGAACGATTGTCTTATTTCTACTCTGCGTTCGGTCGTTGAAGAGGCTTTTATATAATACGAAAAACAAATACCCCTATATCGACTAAGGCTGTTAAAAAAAAAAGGCCAAAATCTAACTACGCGGTTGATAGTACTCAAAATTAAGTATAGCTCGCTAGGCCATACCATATATACAGGCAATACGTTCGTAGCCAACGTACCTGCCGATAAAACTTGGAACCTCAAGTGAACTGGGATAAGCCGCCTACTGCAAAAAAGGGCGCTCATGAGTGAGTGGATTTAAATTCTCTCTGGGCTGTTTGTAGACAAAACGGGATCGGCGCAGTTTGAAAAGGCACAAATATTATTTCATTAGTCTCATAAAAAACGCACTGACCAGTAATACCGGCTACAAAAGCACGTCCTGCTGTAGCCTTGTGGAACACATTGCTATGGGCGCGCACTTGCTAACCAAGGCTCCATATCTTTGCATTGCTACCTTCAGGGCTTCTAGAAGAGTATTGCTTCGGGATGTATGTGTAAATGCACCCTGTTCGTTAGATTTGGTACATAGAACCTCTACAGCGGGCTCTCTACGCTTATATTTAATGACGCGTTTATGTAGCTAGATACATGGGTAATTTGGTATAATGGACCGTGTATATACCGTTTAGGAGCGGGCAGGTCGAGAAAATATCTTTTTGGTGGTAACGAGCGGTTGGTCGTTGATACGAACGGCTTTAAACAATTTCTTGTGAGGTCACTGTGTTGAATTAATCTCGTGGAGTTTGGCATACATGAAGCGTTGAGTTCAATCTGCTTTAGTGGGACATGCCAATAAAAGGAACTCGATGGTAACTTTTTAGGTAGTTTTCTTTCTAGCATACCACATGTAGGTCGTGAAAACGAGGGTGTAGTGACTAGACTGGACGTAAATGGTCGCACGTTAGAGATAACTAAATGCGCTCTATGGAATGACCTGTTTTGAGTGTGGGTGTGTGTGTAGATCGTCAAGTTCTAAAAATCACAACAAAATTTCCAACTTAGATTTATAAATTCGTTGCTTCTAAATATCTTAATAAAAAAATATATATATATATTCACAACAAATTAAAAAGTACATCATGTATATATATATATATATTATAACGAAGAAGTCACCAACTCTAGCATGCAAGCCATGCACAGCTTCGCTTTGAACAGCAGAGAATTTGGTCAAGACCTTTGGAAAAAGTAACTTCAATCGTAGAAATCTGTGTTTAGGATCAGACTGAATGCAATTCCCTCGAACCAACTACCGGCCTTGACTATCTCGCCATCGCACAGCCAACCTATAACTTACCTAGTGAACGGTTAATCCCTAATGCTTTAATTATTTTAGGTTCACTACTGGCTACCAGCTCGGTAAGATGATGCTGTGACGAATATTTGTCATTAATGTAACATGCTCCCGTTTATTGATGCCAAGAGTCGCCCGTTGTAGACCACAAAAAAAATTTGGAGACAATCTCCAGAGAGTGGTTTTCAAAAATCAAAAAAGTAAAAAAAGAGACAGCGGAACATCCATTGCGCCGCCATTCTAAGCACTTCAGCCTTGAAGAGTATACTAAACCGTGTTTGTCTTCTGCGTAAGTTCTAAGAGCCGACCATTTTTTATTTTTCAAAAAGTAACCTAGGGAAGGAACGCAAATGACCAATGGCAATAAGAGTGTTCCACCTCGAAATAGCTATTGTATAAGCACTGATGAAAAAATCCTGTTTTAAACTGGGTTTCATTTATACGCGTACAACGGGAATGCTGTGCTTTAATTAGTAATAAACCGTTCAAAGAACGAAACAACTAGCAGTCTCTGCTGCCTCAGTGAATACATTAGAAAACACCTCAAGGCAAGACGCTTAATCCAGGCAGTATTCCGCTTTAACTGTGTCCTTCTATCTTGTCTTTCTGATCACCTCTTTCCAGAATGGTGACGTAACTCTTCAGCTATCAAATGTGGACCCTGCAGATCAAGCTTTCATACGGTAAGTATACTTGTATTGGAACGGGCTCACCAGAAAGTTTGTGCCTACAACAGGCCACAGCGGCAGAATTAGCACCCGTAAAACGATCGCAATGGCAACACACCAGCCATTAGATATTTTTATTCCCTACTGATCCTACTTTCTACATATTAACAGGATACCAATGCCGTGCATAATATCAGAAAGTATTTCAAGTGTGAAAAAGATGACAATTTCGTTCTCCTTTGTCCTCTGTGTCTATTGTGTTCACGGAAATCTTTCCTGCACCATACACGAAAACCTAGAGGTAGCGTAAGAAAATCACGGACTATTCGTTGGCTGAAGATGCGCAGCGGACGGTCACTTTCTCGAGCGAAATCACTCTCTGGCTGTTGTACTACAGTCACTGCATAAAGGAAAATTATTTATTGCCCAACCGCCATCAACGGTGACGTAGAATTGCTGTCAAACCGCTGGGCATTTTTATTCCATACAATCTTTACCGATCTTATTCGGCCCAAAAATGCATCGTGTGTTGCAAGGCTTTCTCTGGATTAGTTCTTAACCTGATCTTAGCCGCTGAATTGCGTCCTTTACTAAGCCAATCTCGCTACAGTGGTCGTATACGGCGTTCTTCTTTATGGCGAGACACAATCTTAGCACTAACAGAGAGGACATAAAACGAATTGGTTCGAACGGAAACGCGATCGGAACCTCTTGCCAGGTGTTTCTTGTGGATCAGCAGGTACGCCCCAGATCGGAAAACAGAGGATATTGTACCGCTTGAGCTCAAATCGTTCACGCTCGATAGCTTCATGAGATGCTTTTCCTCCCTCGCAATATTACCTGGGCAGTGAAGTGGGATCAAGGTTGAGGACAAAAAGCTGGGAAGCCCTGTTGTGGTCCTTGTAATAGGCTAATTATGTCTGATAATGTCGACTAGGTGATATCGAATTTTCCAGTTAGAAAAAGCGAAGTAGACTGGAATAGGATACATAAAGCGCAGAATATTGGCTACGTGCGATCAGATTTGAGTATCGGCGCAGCCAGCAGTTGTTGTTTGAATTTGTTTAACGATTACTTAGTTCGAATTCAACTGTCATACTGCGTCGTACATGCTACCTATCGATTTCGCTAGAAACCAGTTTGGTGGACGTTGCATTTGAATTTTACCTGGAGACCTGCTCGCCATGGCGCTCTCAGCATTTAGGGTTTAATTTAGTAAATACTTAGTATAAACTATTTTAAATAATCGATGTGCCATTTGTGGGCAATAGGAAAATGTAAAGCATAAACGGATATGTTTTATGAGAGATTATTGATTTTACATTTCAGTTTCACACCTAATCTCCTCATCGACGATGGGTCCTCCGGTCGCCCCCGGCTGCGGCCTAACTACGAGATCGCTGGCACGTTCGCCGATGAGGTTCTTAACGTTCTTTGCTTTATCAATATAGTTATCCATCCGCATTGTGTCTATTGCCGCATATATTAAATAGCATAATTTAACCGACATGTTTAAGAGGGGCTAGTACGGACTAGGCCTAACTCAACCTATGACGTTCCTCGAAGCCATTAATCAATAACGCGTCATAGTTTGCAAGCACGAAACCCAAGGCGTGGCTCGCCTTAGTATTCCTTTCCTGCAACTAGTAGTCTATACACCAAATACTGTGCTGTTAGTACATGGGCAATATATCCAGTAATGTTATAATTCATGATAGCTTGCTAGAGACCAGTTGGTTAGCATGTGTGAACACCTGCAGCTACAACTGCAAACAGCCATAAAGACGACCTGTCTCGTTATAATACACACCTAAGGTCAATAATGCTCTTAATATTACTGAAGAAAACATTTACACTAAAGCCTACTATATACTCGGACAACTAGTTATCTTCCTTCTCTTCCAATTAACCTGCGCTTTTTTACTCTAAATAGCGCGTATTACACCTACAATCACTATTAAAGGACGCATTACCTGTCGCATGAGTCTAGGTGTTCACACCGCCGCTGGTATCGGCTACGCCCTCCGCTGAAGGCCACGACCCTGAGCGGGAGCTCAGGCGGCTTGAAGCGCTCACTAGCGTAGGTTTAAGTACCGGCGGAAATGGCATCAGCAGCAGCATTAGTGACAATAACGGAGCTATCGGGAACGACTTTTTGCCACCGGAAGCTACGCGCAAGGGTCAAGACAAAGATGATGATGGCAGCAAGTCGGGGAACAAAAGGACACGCGCGGCCAACGTAGACGAGATTACTGACAGCAAAGATGACCTTGAAGAGCAGGAAGATAATCGCTTTGCACGCGACGTTCAGGAAAACCTCTGGCGAGGCCGTAGCAGTTTAACTGATGGGATATACAAGCACCAACAGTTGCGCAGTGGTGAGAGTCAGGCAGAAAAATTGGCTTGAAGACCAGTAACAAAAGAAATTGCGGGCTGAAGACAAAGAAGTATTTAAAGCTAGGAATGATTTACCTATCATACGGCTGCTTAGAACTAAGTTTTAATCCTAAGTAACTTTTTGTTCGAATATTTAGTGATAGTTAGCCCGTACTTCGGTAATCAATGTGGTTATGCCCGAATCAACTACTCAGATAAAACTTAAACATAGCTTTGTAATGATACAGTGAGTATTTTTTACTTCTTGATAGAGGTGTGGGAATAAAGATTTGTTTGAATGAAATTCTTGCTTAAGCAAGTACAAAAATAGGCTGGAATCCAAACAACAATAAGAGAGAATATAAAAGTTACAAGTGACATGCAAAGAAATATAGTGACAATAAATTAGGTTCGTAGTGGGGGGGTCTTTGCAACGAGATCTGATCAGCTTACTGAACGAGATCGAAGTTTTACCAGGATCAAAATACTAGTTCGCCCTCAATTATGAAGGTGATCGCGAGGCATAACTTACACGCAAACTATGAGTTGTCCTTATCCTCGTCTCTTTGCACGCTGCTAGTGTCGGGGTTAACGACATAAATGTTATGAACATAGTAATGTATTGAGTTGATTAGCCGTTTATTTAGATTAGGCTCTTGATAGTAATACTTGATAACAATGAATAGTAACACAGTATACTACATATTGAGGCTACACTACATACATATTGAGGCTACACTAAAGTGTGATATGTACTAAGCTAATTATTGTCAATAATTGTCCTGCAAAACTCATTGCAACATTCTAATGCTATTCTAGCATAAAATCAATTATGGAACACATACTCTAGATCATTTCTTATGTATCTCTCTCTCTCTCTCCCTCTCTCTCTTGAAACTCAATCTTTCTGTCGACGTTTTTTGCAGACCAAATAATTGACGACGTTGAAGATGAGGAGGGCATCGTTGGGAACTTACCACATCCTATCGAGAAACGCAGTCGACCGATCGGCGAATGGATATGGTCTGACGACGATCGGCACGCTGATACGAAGGACCCGAAAACGGACAATCTCGAGCTGTTGCTTAACTTGATGCAGCAATATGATCAAGATCAAACGGAAATTTCTGAGGTAAGTGTCCTAATTTAGGAAACGAATTGGCAGAAAAGAAAAATATTCAGTTCCTTAAAACCTTTTAGCGTAAGATAGGCACTTGCAATCTAAAAAATGTGCATAGTGCAAAAAGGTGTGATCTCTTCGAATCTTATTCTTCAACAAAACCCCTAGGTAGATAAACGCACCGATACCACTAAACAAATAATTGGCAAGGATTTAATGCCAGCGCGAGTCCGTAAAATTATTACTCTATGTATGTAAAGTGTAGATAATATTTTAACTGCCAGCTCTGCAAGAAATGAAAGGCCGCGTCTATTTATGTTGTTGTTTCAAGTTGAGCACACTTTTCTCTTGGTAAACTTAAATATACATAAATTGGTGTAGGAAGATCAGTGAGTAGAAGCCTCGATAATATTTGATTATAGGAATGGCTTGCACTGAAAGCCAAAGGAAACACATAAAACGTTTTAAACACACAAGTTTTTCACCTCATGTTAGCCGAAGAATGGCCACCAGCGATTAATAGATCAGCATCGTTTGCCCCGTTCTTCTTGTCATGCCGATGTTTACTTTGGGACTGCTTAACAGCTATAGGCAGTGACGGACGATTGGTCCTTCACATGAACGGACGAATAGGAATAACACGTCAGTATCCGCTGGCCTTAACTAAAGATATTTCTAATGAACAATAACTTGAGCTCATCTGAAAATGCGCAAATGGGTCATTGGTTGCCAGCTCAAGCAAACACGGTCTTGGCCTCTCTTTTTCCCAATGCACACTTTATACCTATTAAATATGTGTCTAAGTATCTTTGATGACATGCACACTTTGATGTTCTGGTATCACTTGCTATTCATTATTTCGTCACGCTTAACTTTGAAACACTCGTGTTTGAGCTTGTATTACTAAAATGAGAGTGTCCCACCTCTTCTCTTCTTGTCTCATTTGCGGCCTTAACTCAGCATATTCATGTGAACGATTCTATCTCTCGATTTAAAGCTATCTCAGTATATTTTGCCTGTATACCTGTAAAACATAAGAAGTACACACCTATTATACGTTAAATCAGTATTCCATAAGCAGAACATCCAATCGTGTATACGCCGTTGACTAACCAAGTTGTTTGTTTTGTATTAATATTTTATGCTCTCAATGCCACGTCAAATCGTGTGAAACTATAAATTCCGTCAACCGTCTTAGCCAAGGCACGCAATCGGATTCAGCTCAAGCTCGCAGAAGCATTTAACTGTGTCCGTCTATTACTACGTACAGCGTTCATAACTCCAGACTTATGTATGATAGATGGGCAGAAATCTATATTACAGCAGTGAAGTTATGATTTAATAACACAACGTTGTTTATTTCACTCACGAGATGAAACTATAGAATATGAAATTACTACTGCAACGTGGAATAACAAGCATTTTTTGTAATCTCTTTCGACACAATCTCAATGAGGAAAAGTTATAAATGGACGCTTCATCCGAGCATAGAACGTTGCTAGGGTTATAGCACCGTTGACCTTAACGTACTGTGCACGTTGTTTCTTCTCTTGCCGTCCGAAGAAGGTCCGAGTTCCCGATTCCTGTACTAACAGAGTTCGGGTTGCTTAGAGAAAAAAAACTTCGCTAAAGCAGAAAATTTTAAATTCTGCACTGAGAACCTTCAGCATGGAAATGATGAGATTGCAGCTAGACGCAGATATCAACAGCGAAAGACTAAGCTTCTGCAAAAGAATTGACGAGATAAGCTTGCTTTCCCAATGTCGCATTAAGAATCAATTGCACATAAAAAATATGGACGTAGCAAGCGAATAAAACAAGTCAATTCTATATACTCTCCGAAGTTGATATTGCTCTGTAACATATTTATAAAATTAGCCTATTATAGATATCACGAGAGTATTGTACCAATAATAATGAATGGGGACATTCAGGTTGAGCGCATCGCCCACCCAACCGCCACTTCTGGGCATTCAATAAGGCGACCCAAATTTACATAAAAACTTCAACACTTCGCTTTAGTTACAATTCATCTAAGCGTGTTTGAGCTACCACGAATTGCATCGTCTCTACATCAACGACCAAACGATCCTCGTCGTCTTCATAGGATAAAAGTAACTCATTAGCCTCCGCAAACAAGTTATCCAAGTCCCCCTTTTACGGACACGCACATAACTATGATTCCCTTAAATAACAAACGTTAACCAAGTAGTCCTACAACATGCAACGCGACGTCATTGCTACTGTTTATACAACACTTAAAAAACGGCATTTCCTACACTAAACTCGTTTTGTCAGCTCTGCGGAACTGGAAATCGCAAGATGCAGGCAGAGAGAATCAGAATAAACTCAGCCTTTTTTTAACTACCGCAGACATTTAAAGGATGGGTAATGTCTGTCATTAGCCGGCCTATGCAACCGTTCGTTAGCAGGCTTGTCCAGATTTACTTATTCTGCTTAGGCACATGCTTGCACGGCACGTTTCGGCAGTTGTTGCCATAACACTATGTGCAAGGCCTAAGTATTAAGCATTCATGTATTTAACACTGTTTCAGAATTGTAGTATCTGCACAATCACTGAGAGGCCTTTACCGGTGTGTGCTTTCTATGAAATCTGCATATTTGCTTCTCGAATTACCCAACGCCCCCTTTCCTCTTTCTCATGCATTCTCAGAAGTTCACAGTCAGATTTCCTGATCGGGTTGCAAGAAACATTGATTTCATGTTTCTATACTGCCGTCTCTCACCTACGCTAATTGCAAGCGCAATCCAAAATTGTCACACTTATAAGTTAACGATCATGCTTGTTGCTAATTGGTCTAGTTTTACTATCCAACTTATGTGTAAATCTGTTGTGTGAAGGTTCAATACGCCATTCAGCCTATGTTCGCATGCTCGCTTCCTTTTCTTGCTCATCTCCGTTAATTTGGGCACCGTTTTGATTTAGTATCTTAAAGAACAGATCCGAATTTTCGGATTATAACGAGTAACTTCACAGTAAATTTTCCATTCGTTGTAATGTTCCCATTTGCGCGAAGCTTCAAAACTTCATTCATGAACTTTGATTCGTTGGACATTCCTGCCAGCAAAGGCATTATACATTTGGGTCTATATTTCTTTTCGACTATTTTTACTTAACGATACATAGTTATTTAGTTTATTTTCTATTATATGTATTTTATTGTATGTTTTGACTTGGTGTAACAGGATGATGAGCAGAATCTAAAAGCAGAAGCAATATTCCGACGACGCAATAAAGAAAACGATTATTCTTCATTAGAAGACCCCGAGTCGATAGCTTTGTCGTCAGCTGGAGAAAGCGATCAGGATGAACAGAATAACGTGCCCAGCGATCAGGAAACTCCTTTGGATATGTTAATGTCAAGGGCACCAGATAACTCCGATTTAGTTGGAGAGTTACGAGTAAGAGGGGACCCTTTCATTAGGCCAATGAGGTTGGACACGAAAAAGCCTGGGCCGGGCTACTACTACCACGAACCTGAGGAGGGTCAAAATGAAAGGGAGTATGTAAGTACAGAGAAGCGGACTTCACGCGTAAGGCACGTTTTTTTTACCTAAATGGCATTTAAGTCACACTAGTTGGTGGACTAGCGTTGCAGGTTCCGTATTTGTTTTCTTGTCAAATCCGCTCTATTTCCGACTCGAAGAAATAAACTAAATCAACACCATACAGGAGTCGCTTTAAAACCAAACAGGACGTTAAGGTAATCCTCTTGCTATACGTAATTGGGAAAACCAGGCATGTTGACATGAGCAGTTAATTTCAACTCTTCATTGTGCGCCCATCAACACCGCTTACAGTGAGATAGTCACTTTGTTCGTAGATCTACTATGAATAAATCTTTAGAGCAGATTCCTATATTGGATTTGAGAGATATATCATAGTACGTTATATGCTATCTAACTAAAGCCTGGCTCTACACATGTGGTCTTCATTTTTTGCTTCATTAGCAAAAGGAAATGCGTCGATTACAGCAGAAGATGCTCTCAGAGAAAAGTATTGACGGGGATGACCTCATCGAAGCGCTCAACGAAATCAGTAAGCACACTTAAGCGAACCAACAACAATGTATAAAAAAAGGAATGTAAATACCATTGTATCAATATCATGTCCATCCAACATTGTGCCATTCATTCCTATTGAGCATACGTGTATTTCTTCTTAATCTACTTTCCCTCAAATTTAGTTCTATTATTCTATTAGCTTTTTAATTTCCTTGTTTTTTAGCCGCTTTTTTTTATATCTTTAAGCCCATATAAACTCATAGTGTGGCTCTGTATTCGTCTGTATACTTCAGACCAGAATGGTCAGAAACGTGAAATCGAAATAGTTGGCGTTCCACCGAGTCGCGTACCTGAGCGACATGCAGCTGGAGTCGCTCCTCTCGACCCGTACCATACCGATCGGGGAGTTGAGGCAATCGATGCTAATACAGCCTATCTTGTCGTCAAGAATATCAATACTGGGTGCGTATACACAATTTCGGATAGGTCTTTTCGGTTAATCGGTTATGGCCCTTGAACATTTTTCTAACTGCAAATACAGTTTATGTTGTGACCTGTAATTGTAAGTACTTCTTTACTGGCGATTTATTGTGCATAGGGTTGTGCGTTTCCGTTTTGTTTTAAAAAATCAAGGTCTAGCTATATAGTAGAGATTATTTATTTACTCTATTATTATATACGATATTTAACAAAATATTTTATGTATTAGAGCTAAGCGTACACTCTGGGAAAAGCTTTGTGTGCTCTAGGCTCTACGAAGCTCTTCATTTCGATTGTTGATAAGAATGTTGCTAATGCTAACAAATTACAAACGTTTTACTAAAATTGCTACTATATGCTGTGATCACATGTCGTTGCTAGTTCGACTGTGAAAGATAACGACGCCATCCGTCTCGCCTTAGCTCTTGAGAAAATATTCGGTCTACCCACTGGCACTATCTCACAGGTGCGCCTCAACGGCAGCCAAGTCGACTTCAAGCTCTTGCCCAATGAGAAAGGACTGAACGCCTCCGAGATGATTCGTTTAGTTGGTAGGAAAAAACTGAGAAGTTCTCCTCTATGCTATTCTATTGCTATTCGATTGAGTCGGGCTATTTCGATCACTGTGTTTGCTTGGACGTATTTAATCTATCCGTCTTTATAAAAGATTTATGTCAGCTTCTTGAAATGTTCAAGACAATTCCAGCTAATCTCTGACTAGCTTAAAAGTTAAAACGTCTCTTAATACTTTCCTGTTTAGCGACAACACAAGATAACGAATACTCATGGTGTATTAGTTTGTAATGTCAACCCATTTCGAATGACATTGTATCTCTGTTACAGGTGACAAGAACGGGGAAATTCTCCGTGCAACAAATCTGTCGATTTCTTCTGGGGGCATTGGCGAAAGAGTCAAGTATGAGGTGATATCCCCCAGGTCTAATGACCTCTTCCTTTTCACATTCGTGGTTTGCGGTTCCGTGGTCGGCGTCCTGCTCGCGATCTCTGTTATTTACATAGTCCGAAGGCACCAACTCAGCAGGGATAAACTGCACGGCCTTAACGGCGAGGATGACCCTCTTGCAAAGTTCGACTATCAGGTACTACTACGGTGTTGAAATTGCGTGAACCTGTTACGTATCAAAATTCAGTTGGCTTCCACATTGGTAAGCATGGTCACACAGGTACGACGGTTTTAGCAAGAATAATTTAGAATTATTGTAATATTTCTCCTTCACGTACGGTCCGGTAGTTGATCATGAAAATAATAATGATAATATTTCAAATGTTTTGTACTTGATAGAATATCGCTTAAGGGTCTACCCAAGACGTGAGCGAAATCGAACTCGTTTTATTGGTAACTATCACACTAGGCATCAAACTGTTATACGCATCAAACCCCATAGTGAGGTGGGTCGACCAGGTCTGTTAAACGCTTTCCTCGCCGCACACAGAATCGTCCTCTAAAATGCGAACTTCACTTGTTGTGTTTGTATACAAAAAATATCTGGTATTGTATTTTTAAGATACAAAACCTAAAATTGATTTCTATTGTTCTTAAATGTGTGTTTACTATCCGTAATGCAGGATCTGTGTCGACAGCGGATGGTCGATTCAGGAAGTGGTAAGGAAGGCGCATTAGCTGCAGCTATGGAGGCTGGCAGAGCGCCGGACAAGGGTTCTCCCAAGAAAGTGAAGATCGCCAGTCAACAGTCACACGATAGCTCGCGTTCGTCGACATCTTCGTGGTTGGTTTAGTCAATTTTTCGCTGTTCATCGTTTCGTACAAATATTTTAAATAGTTCGATTTAGAATATCGGCAAATATTACTAATGACGTAAGTCGAATGTTCACAAATCTGCTGTCCGTTAACTTCACTCGCAGGAGCGAGGAACCGGTGGCTCCGAACATGGATATCTCTACCGGTCACATGATCTTGGTAAGTACACTTTTCTGGTACACGATATTTCGCGCATTTAGGTTAAGTTTCTGTAATAGTAACTTATGAGCCCCATTCGACAATCCAAAAGCAAAAGCATTATCGTGTGGTTTAATATATATATATATATATATAAGTAAACAATAATATCCGTCTTAATTGTTGTTTAAAAGTTGATTACCGATTTAAACTCTGAGTCACTTTTCTTTTTCATTCGATTGCTTAGTCGTACATGGAGGATCATCTGAAGTCGAAAAATCGCCTTGACGAAGAATGGGAGGGTCTTTGCGCCTATGAAACAGACCCCTCTTCGACTTCAATAGCTGAAAAATCGGAGAACGCAAAAAAAAATAGATACATGCATGCCTTACCCTGTATGTTCCGTTTTTTGAGAACAAAAAGATAGGAACTAGTTCTCTTTATATATTATTAGCATGTAAACGTCTACTATTTCGAAATAGATCGCATGTAAAGTATGTAATGTTCTTTATTTTGTTTCATTGAGCCAAACAACAATTCATGTACGACAGAATAAGTTAATAGTATCTCCGAATGTTGTGCATTTTAGATGATCATGCGCGTGTAATTTTGAGTGAGTCTTCCAACGCAGAAGATTCTGACTATATCAACGCTTCAGCAATCGTACGTCTGGCTCCAGTACACAATATTATTTGCAGTATTACGGTATACCTATATTGGCGTTAAACCTACTGAATCAATATGCATATTATAACTTTGTGTTTCAACGGTTTGACAACGACTGTAGCAGAATACACTGCAGAAAACTTGATGTACTTTTACGATTCATCATGATCACTAATACATCCATGTATGTATATATTACAGACCGATCATGACCCACGAAATCCAGCCTATATCGCCACTCAGGGTCCACTGCCGCACACTGCATCTGACTTCTGGCAGGTCTGTTTTAATCGAAAAAAGGTCTGACACGTTCTATCGACACATACGTGTGTACTACATACGTAGATAACATTTACCAAAAACTTTACCCGATAAACGGCTTTTTTAAATATATCTCTTTGACAAGGTACCTACGAAAATCATATTTTAATA